CTCCTCTACAAATTCTTTTGACTTATGCTTTTGGTTGTAAATCTCAGAGTGAATGTGATTTTTTTCACCCTAACAACAAGAAATTCTTTTTTTTTTCTTTTATTCATGTTGCAAGAATCTATGTGATGAGGTTTGGGTTGAAGATTTATAATATTTATTTATTTTTATTATTTTTCTTGCATAGACTGGATTTTTGGTGTTGGGAAGGTTTAATGTTTTCTTTTTTTTCTCTCTTAATAATAATGGTTTCGTTTTTGTTTAAGTTGTGAATTTTAAGTCATGGGAGGGGGAAAATGGTTTTTTTTTTCTTTGAAATTTTATGGTATAACATCAATTGAATCTTTTGAGGTTACTGGTACTGTTAGTCTGTAATATCAATTTGGGATGGATCAAGATAACATGAAAACATGTTACACTTTTTTATTGGTATACTTCAATTTTATCTACTATGCCATTAAGTGCTTAAAGTCTACTATATTAAACGCCGTTCCTATTGTTTTACCCTCTGATGTCGGTGAAGATAATCACAAGCAGCTTATAAATGCGATTTTTTTCTCTCTTAGTACCCTTTTTAGCATTATTGTTATTTTTTTATATAATAAAAACATTGGAATGTTGCTTTAATTTAATGGAAATATTTTGTGCCACTTGTTACAGGGAAGATGCATGAAGCTTATAGGTACATTTTCTGCAACTAATTTAAGGGGATGATACTGTAATTGGCCAAGTTGTTATGATAGGATTATGCTTGTTTGCATTTTAAATTGTGGATAAGTCTTCCGTTTTATCTTTTGTAATATTCACGTGTATATATGACATTCCTTTGTATAGTGACAAATGATGAATAACAAATACCATTTCTAATAATACCTCTAAAAGGGAACTTGTGACCTGCTATGCTGAATCACCTTTATCTAAGGTGATTGACAAGGCAGATGTTCATCGGGTTTGCTCGTTGGGATTGTGTCTCTCACAGACGTTATTAGAGTTATAAGGCGTTCTCTACTATCAGATTCAGATGATCAGTGAGAAGCACAATTTTGTGCCAAGGTGGACAAAAGAAAGATATTGATGATGTAAACATCCTCACATATGTTGAATAAAATTGGTTGTCATACAAATTGCACGAAATGGTTGTTTACACTTTATACATAAATTAGAAAACATATTTGTTTTAGACAAAAGAAACTGAATTTCTTATGACAAACAAATTGCAGTACGGGTATACTAGGAACCTTCCATCAATATGATATATGTAACATAAAAGACCATCATCTTAGCCTTCTTCTTCTGGGCGTAGTTGAAAATCATCTTAAAACCTCAGTTCTTCTTCTTCTCCTATGTGTTGTCTCTGAGCCTAAAACAACAATTGTGTCAACATTCATACTCGAAGGAGGCACAGAAGCTGCGGCTGCAGAATTGGTTGCAGCAACATATCGAGCAAGACTCTCTAACAAATTTGTAGCAGCATCACTAAAAGTTGAATTTCTATTAACAACACGAGGATTTGACTGCCTGCTTCCACCTACCTGGTGATCATGCATATACGATTCAAAGTCCTTAACTAATCTTTATGCAGAATACATTGCAGAATTTAATCCAAAGTACAAATCCAACTCCAACAAGAGAGAGTCCCATTCCTAAAACAAAACCCATATACAGTGTCCTTGTTGTGGCAACAATCACCTTGTTATAGTCTTTCTCAGCAAAGGAACTAGCTAGAATAGTCTGTGAGCCATAAAATACGCATGATGTGAATTCTTAGAAAGATTTTGAGAAGTTAAATGTATAAGGTACATCACAGTTCTAATCAGTCCTCGCAGACTTCTTCTTCAAAATTTCTAAAGGGGCACTTGTGGAGAGGTTGGCATACAGAAGTGGTGTGGGAACATATATGTTTAGATAGAGAGCTTCTTTGCTTCAGGGAAGAACATGAAAACAAATGGTAAGTTTCAATGGGAAGCTGTAGATTCAACGGAAAAAAATAAAAATCATTTCCCCCTACCCGTGACTTATAATTAACAACTTAAACAAAAATGAAGTTATCATTATCCAGAGGAAAAAAAAAACCAAATAAACTCTTTGCAACATAAAAAATCCAGTCTATACAAAAAAATATATTATAAATCTTCAACCGAAACCTCATCTCATAGATTCCTGCATCATGAATAAAGGAAAAAAATAACAAGCACCTCCCTTTTTTTCCTTAGACTTTCTCGTTGATTTGATTTCTAACTTCTAAATTTTTAAACAAAGCATGGAAATAGAAAAGGGAAAAACTCAAAATACTTCTCCTTTGAAATTTCTACAGGGTCACTGGTAGAGAGGTTGAGGTAGAAGAGTGGTGTGGGAACTGCTTCAACTGTGAAAACGGAAAAAAGAAAAGAAAAGAAAGTAGGTATGCTTCGTTCAGAAGTTGTAACGTCAATGAGAAAAGAAAGAAATGAGCGGAAATGGAGAAGTTCAGAGAAGAACGAGGTAAAGATGACAGTTGGAGTCACGTGCCTACTATTCTTTTTGAAGTCGTGGCCGTTGGATTAAAGTGCAATGGATGGTTCAGATGGGGTGTAAGAGTAAAAATCTTACACTGGTGTAAGTTGATCCTGCCCCATATATATATATATATATATATATATATATATATATATATATATATATAGGGGCAGGATATTCTTACACCGGTGTAAGAGTTAGAAGTCTTACACTCAATCTTGACCATTGATCCACTTGTAACCAATGGCTCACATAACTAAAAAATTAGAACCCTTAGATATAAGTTGGATCAACGGACAAAATTAAGAGTGTAACTTACACTGGTGTAAAATGATCCTGACCCATATATATATATAGGAGGTTGTAGTTACTACTTATTTTTTTTACTACCTCTTACTACTAAATCTTAACCGTTGATTTCTGTAAATCTAACGGTTGTAATTTATGGGGTCATACTTATTAATTAATTATTAATTTTCAATAAATTATAACCGTTAGATTAGTTGAAATCAACGATTAAGATTTGATAGTAAGAGGTAGTAAGAAAAATAGGTAGTAAGTATCACATTTCCCATATATATATATATATATAATTTTTTTTTCTTTTTCTATAATTATCTTAGATAATTTTATCTAATGTTCATCAAAATACACATATAAAAGTATGTTGGATTCATTTTTTTTCTTTCTTCTTTTTACATGAGTCCCACACACTTTTTTAATTGTATTTTGGTGACTTTAGAAACTTTAAACTCATATATATATATATATATATATATATATATATATATATATATATATATATATATGAAAAAATATTTCTACAGCTACTTTAGATAAGGTTATTTACAACTACCCAAAAACAACGTCGTTTTGATTAATCAAGGTGTTTTTATAATTTTACGTGAATTAATTAAGGGTGTTTCCGTAAAATATATATGATAAAAAATAAACAAAATTACCAAAATACCCTTCATTAATTCACCTAATATTACAGAAACACACTTCATTAATCAAAACGGCGTAGTTTTTGAGATAACTGTAGATAACCTTTTCTAAAGTGGCTGTCAAAATGTTTACCTCAAACACACACGCACATACATATATATATATATATATATATATATATATATATATATATATATATATATAAGCTTTATTAATCTCTGTCAACAGAAGAGAAGAGATCTCCTACCGCTCTCACAATCATACAGTGGGATCCATATAATTATAAAAAAAAAAAAAAACAAAGCTCAAGAATTGATGTATTGGAAAATAAATTCATCTTTTGTAGCTGAAAAATAATTTTTCCCATATATATCAAAAGACGAATAACAAGACTAAAGACAATATCATAAGAAAATTAGAGATTTCAAAACAATGGCTAATTTAACGGTTATTGACTCAATGGATTCGTCTTTATCAAACACTAATTAAGTAATTTGAATTATATTACTTTTAAATAAAAAGGAGTTTTAAGGAAGAGATCTGTCTCCTATCCTGGGACCTACGACTACGAGTTGAATGAACTAACAATATACAAAGTCAAATATTTATTTATTTAACAAAAATAAATAAACAAGTCGATTCAAAATTCTCATTTAATATATATTATGAATCATGTTGAACTACTACTGGGAACTTATTTTAAATACAAGATTCTCATGTAATTTTAAAAACATAACATAACCACATATATCATATATGCTAGTTTACTTTTCTACTTTTATTGTGTGTTTGCTTGGGCTTGTCTTGTCCCGTTAATAACAGCATGTTGTTAGAAAAAGTTAGAGAATGGATAAAAACTAAGAGAGAAAAAATTCGAAGTTCACCGAAAAAAGTGGCTGCACGAATATTTTTCTGGAATATATATATATATATATATATATATATATATATATATATATATAGAGAGGTAAAATCAGTTCTCTGGTTGCTGAACGTCCCACGATAAATTTTACACAGTTAATTAATTATGATATAATTGGAGATTCAAATTTTCTCTTATGAGGAGATGAGGTGAGAGTGTGCTTCCATCCTCTCCAATATTATCTTTGAAAGAATTTAAAACTTTAATACTGAAATCAGTTTTGAATCAAACTAGGCATAGAACGATGAGATTGAGATGTCGGAATATCTCCTATAAAAAAAAATTTCTCTTTATGACAATGATTCACAAATATCGCAAGGGTATCTAGATTACAGATTCGTGGCTTTTCCTCGAAGTTTCCAAGTCATCTATGGCTGCGCATAGGACCTAACCGTTCATTGAACACAAACCACTTGATAATGCCACCATAATATCTATTAAGACTTATTTGTTGTGTCTATTTATCTTCCGTTTCCACCATCAGCACCTCTCTTTTTCTTTTCGTTTCTTACAAAATCCCTTGATCACTTTCCCGGAAATTCACATTGACATAACCCAACACCCCCTTTTCCTTACCCATATATAAATACTCGTGCAAGTTGGAACTTTTTAATTAACCCATCAATTTTATATTGATTCAATCATCATCTACACAAACTTGAGGAAACCTTGTTTTCATTTTTTCTTTTTCTTTTTTGGAAAAGTGGGATAAACATGCTTGGTGTTAACCATGTTATGATGAAGGGGAAAAGGCAGAGCAAAAGGAAGAAAAAGGATATCAAGGTTACTTATATTTCAAGCCCTGTGAAGGTTAAGACTAGTGCTTCTAACTTCAGAGCCACAGTGCAAGAACTCACTGGCCAAGACTCCAACGTTGCTGAAATGTTTGTGGAAGCTAATGATACTGATGGGGTTGTTCATAAAGGTTCAACTCATCAATGGACTGAGGCCTATTTGCCTGAGTCTACTTGGTTGAAACCTGATTACAGTGAGTTGCATTCGAGATCCTTGATGGAACAATTAAACGGAGACCTTCAATTTGAATTGTTGAGCTATGATATGTTGTAGATTTACATATGTATAACTATGTATGTATGAGCTAGTTGTGGATTGAAGGTGGATTATGAGTATATGTACATTTTTATGCATATATAAATATGAAGTTTTGTATGATTGTTTTCTTCTACTTATCGACTTTTTAAGCATTCAGGATTTGAAATCAAAACTATTTGTTAAGCTGAAATAATTTTGTGTCAGTTAATTCCCATACTTGGTGATTATATTTAGATTGTGATGTATAAGGATAAGAAATTAATCAATACAAGTGGAAGAGTATATTGAAGCAAAGAATGAACGCAGTCAAAAGATTCAATGTAATAACTCAAGAATAGGAAGGGGAGGGGAATAATGGAGAAAGAGGAGAAACACAGAGAGAGAAGGAGAATTAGCAAAGGGAGAAGGAGAAAAGGGAGTCAGTATTTGAGAAAAGAGAGATAATTTGGAATATTTTTGGAAAAAAAATTATAAAATTATTATTTAAATAAAACTTACAAAACAATAATATTTTGGAATATATATCTATTACATTCAGTTTCGTCCAAATAAGAAGACACCACTCTCGCCCAAAAGATACCAATTTATTGAATCAATATTATATTTGAGCTGGTCTTTTTATCAGCCCTGCAAACTTTGCATCATCGAGGAGCTTTCCGGGTGAGAAGTGATGGCAATATGTCATGACTAGAGGTGTCCCTTGATGTCAAAGAAAAAAAATTAAGTTTCCAAAAAAGAAAAAGAAAAAAGATTAAAAAAAATTATACATATTTTTTAAGGGTTAAAAGTTTGTCCTTTTAAAAAATGTAACTTATGTCCTTTTAACAATTTATAGCTTTGTACTAAGGGTAGTACATAGTTATAATATTAAAGTTATACTTTTTTCATTTTTCACTTCAACAAATAGTGTCTGAAAAGAGAAAGAAATATAACTTTAATATTATAATTATGTACTACACTTTTTGTATAGTATAAATTGTTAAAAGGACATAAGTTACCTTCTTTAAAAAGATAAATCATTTCCCCATTTTTTTAATACCACAATGACATAGAAGTTTGATCCTATATGTTTATGTAAATTATTGAATTTCCTCACCATTAGACTAATGGTGATAATTTATGTAAATTATCAGCCCTGCAAACTTTGCATCATCGAGGAGCTTTCCGGGTGAGAAGTGATGGCAATATGTCATGACTAGAGGTGTCCCTTGATGTCAAAGAAAAAAAATTAAGTTTCCAAAAAAGAAAAAGAAAAAAGATTAAAAAAAATTATACATATTTTTTAAGGGTTAAAAGTTTGTCCTTTTAAAAAATGTAACTTATGTCCTTTTAACAATTTATAGCTTTGTACTAAGGGTAGTACATAGTTATAATATTAAAGTTATACTTTTTTCATTTTTCACTTCAACAAATAGTGTCTGAAAAGAGAAAGAAATATAACTTTAATATTATAATTATGTACTACACTTTTTGTATAGTATAAATTGTTAAAAGGACATAAGTTACCTTCTTTAAAAAGATAAATCATTTCCCCTTTTTTTTAATACCACAATGACATAGAAGTTTGATCCTATATGTTTATGTAAATTATTGAATTTCCTCACCATTAGACTAATGGTGATAATTTATGTAAATTATCAGCCCTGCAAACTTTGCATCATCGAGGAGCTTTCCGGGTGAGAAGTGATGGCAATATGTCATGACTAGAGGTGTCCCTTGATGTCAAAGAAAAAAAATTAAGTTTCCAAAAAAGAAAAAGAAAAAAGATTAAAAAAAATTATACATATTTTTTAAGGGTTAAAAGTTTGTCCTTTTAAAAAATGTAACTTATGTCCTTTTAACAATTTATAGCTTTGTATTAAGGGTAGTACATAGTTATAATATTAAAGTTATACTTTTTTCATTTTTCACTTCAACAAATAGTGTCTGAAAGAGAAAAAAATATAACTTTAATATTATAATTATGTACTACACTTTTTATATAGTATAAATTGTTAAAAGGACATAAGTTACCTTCTTTAAAAAGATAAATCATTTCCCCATTTTTTTAATACCACAATGACATAGAAGTTTGATCCTATATGTTTATGTAAATTATTGAATTTCCTCACCATTAGACTAATGCTAAAGGCTTAAAAAAATATGTTTTGTTTTTGGAAAACAAAAAAAATGTTTTTGTAAAAGCTCAAGGTAGCTCTTGATGGTGGTTCTAAAAAAGAAAATCTACGAGAGAGAAAGTTGGAGTAACATATCAGGGGAATGAAACAATATGAAGAAAAAATGGATCTAATTAGATTCGACCAAATCCATAAGTATTTGGATTTCGATCCAGATACCAAATCCACTACATGTGTTTAATTAGATACCAAAAAAATTGGTTTAATAAATATCTAGTATGACTCAAAGGTCATTCACAGTTGAATTGGATTAGTCTTTTTTTTTTTTTTTGTACAATTGGATTAGTCCTTTAGGTCGGGTCAAAAATCCATGCTACAAGAAAATTATGTTTTTGGATAGAAAGTTTGTCTATTTGCATTTCCTTTTCTGGCATATATATATATATATATATATATATATATATATATATATATATATATATATATATATATAGAGGCAGGATCCTTTGACACCGGTGTCAAATTTGAAGTTTGACACCTCATGTAAGAGCCGTTAGATCAAAAAAGATCAACGACTCTGATTTATAAGCATGTGACACCATTGATCTTTTTTGGTCTTTTTTGATGTTTATTTCGTAGTACAACATTCTTCACCCAAATGTGGGGATATACTATTTGACTTCGGTTAACCAAATAAAATATAGTCAAAAATCCTGGAATTCAAAAACAAAATGCCACCAGACCCTCACATCTTCAGATTAAAAGATTGGTTTCTTTTTCTTCATAGATTTGAAGAAATATCATCAAGTGTAAACCACGGTCCTGCTGCAGTTTTCTTAGTTTGATTTTTGCTAGTAGTCTCACCTGTTTCAGATTCGAATATACCCTTATTTGATTAAAGTTTGACCACACCTATTCGAATAAATGACTTACCGATGATTAGAATTGGATCAAAATTTGATCAAATAAGAACAATTAATATATAATTTAAGAATAGGATCATATTAATATATAATTTGAAAAAATAATAAAGTTATAAGAGGTATGATCCTTTGACACCGGTGTCAAATTTTAATTTTGACATCTCATCTGAGAGCCGTTAGATCAAAAAAGATCAATGGTGTCACATGTTTGCAAATCAGAGTCGTTGATCTTTTTTGATCTAACGGCTCTCAGATGAGGTGTCAAATTTCAAATTTAACACCGGTATCAAAGGATCTGTCTCAAGTTATAAATTAATTTTAATTACGGATAAAATTAATATTCAATCATCCCAATGTTTATGTTATGCTAAATGGGCATGTTTCTCCATTTTGTCCTTGAAATTAAGTGCATTAAAAAAATAAGATAATAAATAATATTAGAATTATTTAGTACTGCCCTTGGATTTTTCTATATCAGTGATGAGTTTTATAAGAGTTATGTGATAGGAAAAGTGAGTGTGTAATGTTATAGAGATTCGTTTTGCGTGTTGTAATTTTCTTTTTTTCTTTTTTCTTCAAAATATATGGATCCCACAAAATGTTATGTATGTAAAAAAGTTTGTTGTGTCATGATAAATAACAAATGCGAAACCCATCATTGATTCATTTAACCATAGTTGCCATTTATCAAAATAATTGTTTTGGTGAAAGTTTTATTTCTGTGCATGGAACATTTCCTTCTTGTCTTTTTAAAGACTAATGTCAGGCGGGTTTCAAGAGAAACCCGTGATAGAGGATCATTACCACTGAACCCGCCTCTAACTAATTTTCAACCTAGCCTGAATACAAATCGACTCTGACACTTGGAATGTAATACTCAAATAATGATAATAATAATCATAAAATAAAAATAGCATATAAAACACCTACTTGCAACAGCGGATCTAAAAAATTTTATTTTCTGCACACTTAGAATAAAAGAGTAAAGAAATTTTTTTTTAAATATATTAAAATACAAAAGAATATAAACAAAAAAAGAAAAGAAAATTTTAACTTAACATAAAAAAATAATCAAGAGTCAATTAAACTATTACAATAGAATATTTTGGGTCCTCAACAAAAATTACGGACCCCAATTTAATCTCTCATAAAAAAAAGAGTTGACTCGTGGTCCCTCAAAATTAAAAAATAAATCCAGATAATCAAAATCGTGGTCCCTCTGAAATTCAAAAAGATCTACATTAGTCCATCAAAAGAACTAACATAGGTCTATTTTGGAATTTAGAGAGATCACGAGATAAATTTTTTTTAAGAAATTAAATTAGATCCCATAATTTTTATTAATAATCCAAAATATATTTTTTTTTTTTTTCAAAAAATTTATATGTGCCTCGTACACACTTACACATATACTGGTCCGCCGTTGCCTACATGTACCTAATGAAGGCACCTAGAGCGTCTTTGTAAAATTTGATGGCCTGTGATGCCATTTCTTTAATAATATATATATATATATATTAAGATAGCCAAGTGTAGATAATGATAATAGACTTTTCTTTTGGTAATAAATACTTAGTAAATACTAGTTAGATATTGATAAAATTTAGTTAGATTGTAAACTGGTTTTGTTAAAAGCTAACAACATGTAATGATTAAGAGTAGTCAAAAAGAAAGAAAGAAGTCCATATGTTCATCTATAAATATATGTGATTGATGATCGTGGAAGGGAGAAAGGAAAGCAAACAGAGAGAAGTAAAAGAGAGAGAAAGAAGCCGAGGGAAAGAAGAGAAAGTAGTAAGAGAAAAAGAACAATCGCGTAACACAAATAATTCAAGGAAGGTAATATTGAGAGATAAAAATTCTCTCTTATTCTTCTTCTTTTCATTATTTCTTTTGAAGTTTTTTTTAGGCTAAATTACATAAAACCTCCTTCAACTTATATGCCTTTTGAAAAAAGCACCTCATACTTTTAATTCAAACAATTAACTCCCTTCAATTCTAAACTTACAACAATCAAGCATATTTTACAATTTTAATACGAAAATAACCCTGTCTTCGCCACTGTATCACCTGCCATACC